GCAGCCGATGAGGCCGGCGCTGAGGACGCACGCCCCGATCACTGCGGCCTTGAGCGCGGACAGGTCCCGGAGCAGCGCGGGCAGGAGGCTGACCTGGGCGCCGCTGTGGTTCCCGGGGGCGCCCAGCGGCTCCGGCGGCGGCCGGCTGGCGTTGGCGGGGCCCTGCGCGGCCAGTAGCGGCCCCGGCGCGGGGGGCTCCTGGCGGCCCCGGACGGGGAGCGCGGCCAGCAGCAGCAGCAGCAGGGCCGGCAGCAGGAGCAGCGGGGCGGCGAGGCGCATCCTGCCCGGGCTCCGGGCTCTACTCCGCCTGCGACACCGCGCCCGGCCCTAGGCGCAAGGAGCAGCTCCCCGGCGCGGCGCCGCCTCCCGGCCGGGCCCGCCCCACGTGGGACCCGGCTCCACCCCCGCCCTGAGCCGCCCGGCCCCCTCCCTGCACGGCCAGCCCCAGCCCTGCCTCCTCCGGCCGGACCTGCGGGTGGGGCGGGGCCGCCTACGCTCACAGGGCCTGGGGGAAAGGGGTCGCGCTATACAGCCCATGGGGTGGGGGAGAACCAGCCTTCCGGGGGACCCCCGTGCGGGCCTCCCCCCCCAGCAGAGACACAGCCCTGGGAGGGACCCCTGAACCCCCCCCCGTGCCACAGCTCCCAGCCAAACTGTAGACTGACCCCTCAAACCCACCCCCATGAGCTGCAGCGTGCCCTCAACCCCCAGAGCTGCAGGGAGCCCCACGCTCAGGCCTGCCCCACCACCAGGCTACACGGGCATTTGGTATAAAGTTAGGGGTGCCAATTTTGGTTGGATGTATTCCTGGAGGTTTCATGAGATGACATAATCTTCCATTAAAGATTAATCTTTAATTCCTGGAGATTCCAGCACAATCCTGGAAGGTTGGCAACCCTATATGATGTGCTTGTGTTAGCCCAGCACCTTCCAAAGCTAAAACAATAGATACAGGGGCTCCTGACAGAACAAGGAGTAATGGTCTCCAGTTGCAGGAGGTTTAGGTTGGATAGTAGGAAAAACTTTTTCACTAGGAGGGTGGTGAAGCACTGGAATGGGTTACTAGGGAGGTGGTGGAATCTCCTTCCTTAGAGGTTTTTAAGGTCAGGCTTGGCAAAGCCCTGGCTGGGATGATTTAGTTGGGGATTGGTCCTGCTTTGAGCAGGGGGTTGGACTAGATACCTCCTGAGGTCCCTTCCAACCCTAATATTCTATGATTCCATGATTATAAATCAGGCCCCTACTGAGTAACACCTATCACACAGATGGCAGACTTTCCCTTCTCTCCCAGGGGAAGAGTTTTCCTCTTATTGATGCTGGGTCAGCTCCTGGCATCCTGCCACATGCCAATAGTAACACATCCCAGAGACAGCCACTTTTTTCTAACACTGAACAAAGAATTTAGAGTTAAGAATAGAATTATCCTTAAACTACCCAGCCTCTGCAGAGCTGCTTAGAGTCTCCCCCAGCCCACTTGCTTGGCCTCCTGGTACAGTTTTAAAGAAATAGTACACACTGCCACACAGATCTTTCCTGTCCTGTACACCCCATGCCCCTTTGAGCTCTCTTGTGTACCTCCTTAGCCCCCAAATACCTTTGTCCTCTTGCTGGACCCCCCCCCTCCAGGTTCTCCTTTTCATAGCCTCAATTCCAAGGTTGGCAGGGGGTTCACGGGATATTGTTGCAGAAGCCGCTGGACTGGCTGAGACTCCCTCCCATTTTCTCCTTTCCAGTTGCTCTTCCAATTCCCGCTCCGTCTCTCTCAAAGGGAGAAAAGACTAATGAAGTATAGTTATAGGTGCTGGAATTATGGTGCTGGGGGTGCTGCAGCACCCCCTGACTTCAAGTGATTTCCATTATATACAGGATTTACAGTTTGGTTCAGTGGCTCTCAGCACCCCCACTATAAAAATTGTTCCAGCATCCCTGCGTATAGTTGGGGGAAGATACTGTGGGAGTCTGCCCTGTCTACTTGCTTACACCCCTAACAGCCATGGAGAGGAGAACAGCTGCTTGCAGGAAGGAGGTGAAAATGAAAAGGATAATAATTCTAATGGCCTGCCAAGAAATATGAGAGGTGCCTGCTAGGAGCCCAGCAGATGGGCTGGAACCCACCTCAGCAGCCCTTTGACTGACTTCCCTCACCTGAGCTGGCCTATTGAACCATCTGGACCTGCTTATGAGAGTAAAGTTACTCACGTGCTTAATTGTTTAGAGAGTGCCAAAAGCACTTCCTGCCTGGCAAGGTTTAGTGGGTTAAAGGCTGTGATAGTGAGTAATGACTAGTACAAATACATACCTGGGAACCATTACTTGCTAAGTGTGGAGTTCAGAATGCTTGTACTTCCTCAGCAACATCTGCAGTTCATGCCATTGCAAGTAAATGAGGGAGAAGATGATTTTCAAACATCTACCGGTACATGCATGTGTAGGGTTTTTTAAAGTCACATCTTCTCATTCGGAATCATGGGGCTTGATCCTGCAAATGGTTCTGTGCAGAGAGACCACAGCACCCATGTACTTCATGGGGCTCTATGTGGGTGCTGGAGCTAGCCCTTGAAATTGTTTCTGTTATCATTATTATTTCAAATGTTTTGTGATTCACCATTCACAGCAGCTGGGCAGATTTCCTAAAAGCTTGGGCCACATCGAAAAACATCCTGTTTAGAAACCATTCTTCATTTTCTGTACATGTCATATGTTTGGGGGGCGGGGCGGTCAATTATCTTGTTTTGCTTTGTTTTCCCTTAGAGTCACTGTCCTGAAAACAGATTGGGCTGACTTTATCCCTGTTATGCCCATTTATTCACGAAGCAAAACAGGGTCAGTGTGGCCCATTGTGTTACTTAAAACTCATCTACCACTTATTTCTCTACTACTTTCTGACAAACAATTGTTTTTAAATACAGCATGCAACAGCTGTCCAAATATAAGATGAGGTACCCAATTTAAATGGGCATTATCATGGTATAAACTTTAATATATACTTTAAAATCTTGTGTTATTAGTATCAACACTTTAGCTCATTAAAACTGGAAGAATTTTAGACCTATACATTTGCTTTTCATTAACCACGCTGTTGTTTACTTAGGG